ATAATAAGAGACTGGCCAATGTTGAGCCAATTTTTGATTCGCTGGATACGGAATGGCGCAGCCAATCTATGATGACTAAAAGTGCGAAAGAAGGGGAAATAGAAATGCGAGAAATGAAAGCAAATATGCATTTTAACACCTCCATGTACTATATACTCAAAGACCAGAGAGAAGCATGAGAGCGGCCGTCCCAGTGTTTTTCGCGACACCGGTAAAAGTTTTGACCTCCCCGTACATTAGCGTCAATTGCTTCTACTTTTGAGATGGAACTACGTACACAGTCATTGTCATTGGCTGTGTACGTATAGTTCCATCTTAAAAGTAGAAGCAATTGGCGCTAATGTACGGGGAGGTCAAAACTTTTATCGGTGTCGCAAAAAACGCCGGGATGGTCGCTCTCATGCTTCTCTCTGCCCAGACTATCTTCTAGGGACTTCTAGGGACATTAGTTACAGCATTCCGCACTGGCTTCCCCGTTGAACGATATGCTCAGTCCCTGTATTTCTATGTCCATGATTTTCTATGCCTATAGTAATGACGGCGGCAGCGGCAGTGACGACGACGGCAGCGACGGCGATAGCGACGGCGGTGGCGGTGGCGGTGGTTTTGCGCGAGTATTTACCGCTGCTGTGTATGTCACGCAATTGAAAATTTTCTCTCTTTTGTTCTGTGATTCTTCGGCGGTCGCGATTTGTTTACCGCGGGAAAAACGATGTCGGGATACCGCAAGGTAAACTATTACGAATTGTGTCGACTGTGTACCAGCAGTGAGGGTAACAAGATGAATATTTTTCGCGATGAAGGACGCAGACGACAATTGCAAACAAAAATACAGACGTATCTACCGATACAGGTGAACATTCATGCTCAGCTCGCCTTACGAGCTATTTTTGATCCTTTCGTAACAATGCGGTCACTCAACCCACTTAACCCTATTTATCAATTTGATGTTATGAACAACACAAGAATCCAAAAATGTCCAAAAATCTACAATCAATATTTGTAAAATTTACAAATTTACAAACGCTTTTTATTTAGATTTTAATAGAATATATTTTGGTCTACTTGACGAAAATGATCTCTCTTGCATGAAAATTCTGCGACAACAATAAAATAATATATATTTTAATTATGAGATTTATTGTTAATATATATATCTGCAAGTTTACATTCTATTTAAAATATGTTATTAAATACATATATGACATCCTTTATATATATGTGTTATATATATACAAATAATATATATATATATATATATATATATATATATATATAAAGGATGTCATATATGTATTTATAACATTATGTCATAAATGTATTATGTATAACATATTTTAAATAGAATAAACTCGCAGATATATATTAACAATAAATCTCATGATTAAAATATATATTATTTTATTGTTGTCGCAGAATTTTCGTGTAAGAGAGATCATTTTCGTCAAGTATCAGTATACATATATATATATATATATATATATATATATATATATATATATCTTCTAGGACAACACTGTACACTGTTTAATTATATGTGCGTATTATAACAAGAAGTTTGTTTTAAAAAAGTTTTCAGAAGATTTAATAAAACAAAAAATATTTATTCGTATATACATCTGTATTATATTTGTACGTTTCTTGTAGTTAATACAACAAAATAGAAGCTTAACTAATTTAGGAAAATATATAAAACGAAGCAAATATATTTTTTTACTAACATTTTTGTTATTAATATTTAATTTTTAAAAGATTTATAAGGTTATTTTTTTATAGAAACAGTCTTAATATAAAACAATATCAATATAAATTATAAATTTTTAACATCAATTAAAATTATTATAGTTATATATAGACTTGTATTTTTATTAACATAATTTTTGTTTTTCTAGAACGTTAAAATATTGTCCATAGTTATATTATTTAATAAAAAAGTTAATTATTTTTGTTATTGATAGAGTATTTTTAGATTTAAAAAATATTTTTTGTTTGTTAAAGTTAAAATAATATAAGCTTTAATTGTTTAGCAAATTTATTTATCTATTAATTTATTTTTAGTATATTATTAATATATATAATAATAAATTAATATTTAATTCTAATTATCATAAAAAATAGAATAACTTACTACATTAGAACGAATAACATTTTAAAAATAAATATTTGTATTTTTTAAAGATTATGGAAGAGGATTCATTACCAAAAATTGTATGCCACGAATGCGTTAAGAAGCTAGAGAATTTCATAGAGTTCCGAGAAACTGTTGTTAATGCTGAGGGTATGTTGGAGTCTTATTTCACTTCACTTCGTTTTTCCGAAGAATTTCTGAAAGAAGGAAAAGTTTATGTAAAGAATACCGAAAAGGAAAGACCGTCCACACCAGAAGATGAAGTTCTGAAGTCAATGGATAAGGTGCCAACACCAGTAGGAAGCCAAATAATGAATAATCAACAAACAGATCAAATACAGCATCAACAACCTGTCGTAGTTAGCAATATAAATACTTCTAATATACAAATTATTAGTGGCGTTCAAGCAAGAGTACAACAATACAAATGTGCTATGCAGGTTTGTAATTAAAACTTTTTATATTAAATATAACAAAGCTTTTGTATTAAATACTGTTTAAACATATTTATTATATAGATATCTTTATTATATAGATTATTTGCATTAGGAGTAATGAAATATTCTCTTGGGTTTAGATGCAACCAGGCGGTATGGCAGCAGCTGTCGTTGAAGCTACAGCAGAGACCCATTATAGTTACCAACAACAAACTTCTCAAGTATCATCGCAACAATCAAACGAAGCGCAAAATCAAATCAATGATCAACAAAATCAATCTCCTTCACTTCAACAGCAAACACAAAACCAAATACAGAATCATAACCAAATAAATCAGCAAGTACAATCTCAAAGAGCAATTTCTCAACAATTGAATCAATCAGCACAATTATCTCAACAGAATCAAAACCAAGTTAGTCAACAGGTACAGGGACAATCACAGATGTCGCAGCAGCTTCAACAATTACAGAGACAACAACGTGAATTTGAAAAACAACATAGACAACTTCAACTTGAGAAACAGCAAGTGCAAATTATAACACAACAAGAATTTTCAGTAAAACAAGAGACACCAGTTGTACATCAAAATAATAATATAGTTCTCAAAACGGAAACAGATATGGAACCGAATCAACAAATCATTCAAAAAATGCAATCCGAGGCCCAAAAAGATGAATCTCCTAACCCAAATGTACAAACTTATACTACAGTACAAGCAACGCCAGAAGTATTTTTAAATTTAGGTTTCAAAGAAACTCCACTAATGACAATTCGAGACGACAAAGATTTTAAAGAATTTACAAAAACGTCATCTGATGATGGAATATCTCGTAATTCAATCGAACAGATCAGAGAATTTTTGAGGCTTAGATCAGGATCAGAGCCAACTTCTCTAATCACTATGAATTCTCAAGGACTTTCACAGGCTGCAAGAAACGCTATTTGTCGCGATTGTGGTAAAAGCTTTCCTTCATTCAATCAAATGAATAATCATAATTGTAATGTTGAGACACTTATAAGTCAACCATCGGATACTGGAAGTAAGGATGATCATTTGCAAACGAACGTTAATTCTTTTAATTGTGACATTTGTAATAAGCCATTTAAACGAAAAGAACATCTTTTTCAACATCGAAAATTGCATACTGGTGAGCGACCGTATGTATGCACGACATGTACAAAAGCATTCAGTCGTAAAGAACATTTAGTTAGACATTCGGTATCTCATACCGGACAGAAAATGCACGAATGTGAAATGTGTGGTAAAAGTTTTTCACGTAAGGATAATCTACATAAACATCGAAAAACGCATGGTGTATCTGGTCCTTACATTTGTGAAACTTGCGGGAAGTCATTTGTTGTAAAACATTATTACGTGATGCATTTAACTACGCATGCAGTAGCTGTCATGGATGGTATAAATTGTCCAGATTCATTGCCATATAAATGCGATATATGCCAAAAAGGATTTTCAGTAAAACAATATCTTACTACGCATAGACTTAGACATAGATCAAAAAATAATAATTCTGCACAAAATAGTTTAAACGGGCATCAACAACAATCGAACGCTACAAATAATGTGAATGTAGTAACAAATAATGTTAGCAATACTGGAAATTTAAATAATGGGCAATCTAGTAATGAGTCGACTGTTGAAATACAAAGCGTTATTGAACGGAACGAACAAACTAATAGTTCATTTGTTAACAGTCAGTATCATACTAATATGCAGGAGTTTCAATGAGATAAGGGAAAGCGTGTCTATTATGTTCTCTTGCCAAATGGTAACAATCATAAGATTGTGGTTGTATAAGCAAGAGAAACTTTATGACGCGCCAAAATATTTTCTTATGGTTTTGTTCTTGGATGAACGTGGTTTTGTACTTTAATACTATAGAAATGAGAATCAAAGTAATTATTCTGACAAATTAGATATTTTGATGTATACACATTGGACAGAAAGTAGACCTGTTGAATACTTTACAAGTTCGCTGGACATAACAATATATTTTGCCAACAAAACATTAATGTCTAATGACTATATGGAATACATACTAGTTTTTAAATGAATGCTCATTTGTATCTAATGTTTGAAGGTATGTGTTACTAATATTTGTATACAATATTTTGTATACAAATATATTAATACCTATATATGCAACATTCTGTGTATACGAGTATACTCATACTGAAATACAGCACCAAAATAATAATAAATAATTTTGCAAAATGCAATATGTCCATATTATCAAAATCACAAATCGGTTTGAATTTATGAATTGAGATGTATTAAATAATCAAATTTTTTACATCAAATTTAAAGTTAAGTAAAATCAAAATGTAAAAATTTAAAAGGTTATTTAAGACATTATCTTTTTTGTAGATTTTTGAATGACCATTCAATTTCCATTTTCTTGTAACATTTGAAATAGAATATATATATTTTTAACCTTTGAAACTTTAAAAAAGAAAAAATTTTAAACTTTAAAAAAAGAAAAAGGAAAGAAATGTACAGAATTTAATTAAAATAGATGTAAAGATATCGATTTAAAACTAATAATATAGCTAAAAAAAAAACAGAAAAAAATAAAATTTTATCATATTTAATCAACGATTAATAAAGCACATTTTTACATTAAATCATTAATTAATATTAATTTAATATGGATCATCATTTTTATTGCATTAGCATAATTCTATATACAATATTCAAACTGAATTGTGATTTTGATTAGCATTGGCGTTAAAAAATTAAGTCTAATTTTTTTATTTGTGATAAACTACATATATTCGAAAACATGATCATATTGTTATGGTCATGAGATTGTTTCAGTTTCTGACAAAAATTGTCATAAATGTATTATTAGTAATATATATAAAATTTCTATTTATAAAAATAAAATGTAAATCTTAAAATTTAAATAACATTAACCACACAACTTGTGAGATACACGAAATTTTCAATTTTCAAGTATGTATATTGTTGTATGTGAAAATTCTTCATTAAAACAGCTATATATCAAACCTGTATCTGTTAGATCACAGTAATTGCAACAATCTCTGACTATTTTAAAAAAATGTTCTAGAGAAATATATAATTTTTATGTGTACACTTAGGATATAAAATAAAATCAGACCAAAGAAATTTATATTATGAATTTTATATATATATATATATATATACATGTATATATATATAAATATGTGTATATAAATATAAATATATACATTTACAAACTATATATATATATATATATATATGTATGTATACATATGTATGTAATTTATTTATAGTTATATAAAATAAATAAAAATTATTATAAATAATGGTAGATACATAAGGAGGTTTGCTAACTTGGCTAACTGTTGTGATTCTAACAATTAAAGATCTATTTTGGAGGAAAGTACCTGTTTGCCCACAATTTCGATTTCCAACCATTTGTAATAATCTTTATTTTTTACATACTTTAATATCTACATTAATTATCTTCAGTATTATTATACATAAATTTTGTCAAAGTAATTATTTTATTAATATGATTAATGATATATGTTAATTATTGTATTATTTTCTGTATATAATACATATAGTCGTGTGTGCAAAGCACATATGTGCAATAAAATTATATGAGAAAGATAGCTTGTGCATAACAATATTTATGACCAATAGTTTCGTGCAATAAAGACGTCAGTAATCGAGATTGAGGGCAATCTCGCAATGTAAGCAAACAACACTGCTAACAACCGTTTTATTGGCAAATTCCCCAACTTAAGTAATATGTTAGTAAAACTGTAAAATAAATTTTTAATGTATACTTATTAATATTAATAAAAATGTACTACACACGCACATACATGTGCATACACGTGCGCGCGTGCACATACACATACACACACGCTAGAACGCGCCTACACAAGCTATACAAAATTATATATAATTTTTTTCAGTGTATATTCATTTTTTATGTTGAATGTATATGTACAGTGTGCGCGTGTTCATACATGCATACATCCATGCATTCTTGGGTGTGTACATATACATATATAAATTATATGTATATAAATGTACGCATTATTTGTTCTCTACACAACGATATAATTCAAAAATTTATTATTTTTTAGTTGCTTGCAAGAAATGTACAGAAACAAAGAATAGAAAAAATATACTTTAAAGATACATACTTTTATTTCTCCATATCAAATATTACATCAAAATTGTATTTTAAAATTAACATACAAAACTTTACTAAATTAAACAATGAAATGTTTTAATAAATTAAAACATCTAAACTAATTTTCTTGGAAACTTTATTTTTTAAATTATGTTGTTGTGATAAATGAGCGTTATATATATATATATATATATATATTTATATTTATATATAAATACACAGGGTGAGGCACTTAAAACAGGCAACCTGAATTATTTTTTAATGGTTCGAGATATTGGATTGAAATTTATAAAGTACAATAGCATTATGAAATCTAATATTTAACTTTAAAAACATCTTCAACTCTCTAGGAAAGTCGGAGGAGGGAGAAAAAAGTTGAAAATCTTAAATGACAATGTGGAGTCGAGTGAGGGCTCATTTGAAAAGGCTTTTTGAGACGAGAAAAACGCGAAATCGTTAAGCCCATGACGAAGATGTAAGGAAGATAACGTTTGCGTATACTACACACACACACACACACACACGCACACGCACACGCACACGCACACGCACACGCACATGCACACGCACACGCACACGCACACGCACACACACACGCACACGCACAGGCACGCGCGCGCGCGCGTTCTTTCATATGCATTTCCATCCATTCAGGAACATGCGCAAAGCCTTCCTCACGTCCTCGCCATGGGCTTCAATAGTGCCAAAAAACATCAATGTTCAAATGAGTATAACTCTGCGAAA